ATTTTCTATACCTTAAATACACAGTTGGTGTAGAATAACATTCTATGTCATATTTCCTGAGAGAAGAGCTGTTTTGCTTCTTTTTAGAGCTGAGAAAATAACCATAGTGTTTTTATGGTGATCCTGTAAACAATAATGCATGTTAATTAGTAAGTTAGTCATAGAAATTAAACCTATTAGTTCATAGTACAAAATGCTTAAAAGTTAGAATAAAATTATTTTAAGTAAGAAAATGACAGTGCAATCTGTATCATTGCTACCATACTTTTTAGGCTTATAATGTTAAGAGATGAAGTTCTATACAATAATTCAGTCAAAAACTGATAAAAGAGAGAAGGTGAAAATTTTAAAGGAATGCGTAAAGGCAGTCATTACATTTGGTGCTAAGTTCTGTGCTAACTCACTGTCTTAGAAAATCAGTTTTAACAAGAAATTATCAAAAGTTAGCCATGGATGCTTATGGATATTTTTGGGTTGTGTGTTTGGACTTTTGTCAAATAGAGTTGATAATCTCTTTTTAAACTGAGCCTTGTATGTGTAAACTTATTAATAAGAATATTGATGTGAGCGCATAGGGTGATAAGAATGCTAAAGTTAGAAGGACAATTGTTTATGAAGAAACTTCTTTGTTACATATTTTTACATTTATTAGATATATGTTTGTTATTGTTAAATTAGGATAATCTTAAAAGAGGATGTGAGATGATAACTCAGAGTAAGCAGGGTTTTGTTTGTTTTTGCAAAGCATTAATTACTAGGCTAAATACATTTTGTGGAAATGTAGTTTAAGGATTTTTTAAATTTTAAATATTACCTACCTTTGTAGCGTTTCACAGGTGTTAGTAGTAGGAGTCAAGTTTCACCCTTTGTGGAAGAGTAGACCCCATATTTTATATGCTTTGAGCACTTGACTGAATTTTAACTCGCGTTCTTACCCTAGGAATGAATATACTTGAAATTTAAATTATAAAGAAATCATCAGATTGTATGTTTGTTCTGTCTTTTTCCTTGAATGAATACTTCTTCATTCAGATAATTCAATCAGATTTAAATTTTTCTACCAAAATGAAAAATTAGGTTTATGCCTCTTCCCAAGTGAAACAAGCTACTATTCTTAAAAGAAACAATGGCATTCAAATTAGTTCTGTATTTAATGTGGACTTACTAGGATTTCTAGTATTTTATAAACCATATTCTGAGAGTTTTGGAAAACTGTAACCAACTTATTTTTTAGAAAAAATAAAAAAAGCCAATTATTATGGAGAATTTCTTGTCCACAATATCATTTTGCTTTTTATTTATGTATTAAATGTTTTACCCCAATGGATATAATAAATTTATCCTTTCTTTCTACTGTATGGTCATGTGATCACTCTTTGTAAATTATTTGGCCATTTCTAACATGACAGTATCTTTCTGCAGCTAACTTTAATTCGGCACATACACAGAACCACATATGGCAACATAAAGTGTACTCTTGCAAAGTTATATTGACTCTAAAAGAGATTCACAGTTATATTTAGTATTTAGGCTAAATTACTTTGAATCTAATCATATGCCTATATTACATAATGAGACCTCACTTGGTATTTTATTTAATTTGGAAACCCAAAGTGAATCATCAAAATCTGTAGCCAACAAAACTGCTTATAACGACATCTCTGTGGATATTATTTTTCAACTCCGTCTTTCCCCAATACCCTCCCAAGTATGGCCAGCTCAGTAAGTGCATAACTGAGAATACCATGGGATAATATACTTACCAGACCAGAAGCTACTTCTTCCCATATCACTGCTTGCTTAAAAAATCTTAGAGCAGAAAGTTGACCCTGGAGGCTATTAGTTATATTCTCATTCAATGAAGAATCCATTCTGCAGTAACCCTGACAAATGTTCATTTATCCTCTGTTTAACTGCCTCTTCCACATTGCTGCCCTGAGGTTTACAGTGCTGTAGTAGCCACAGCCAGCTGTGTACCCTGGATCAAGTTACTTCAGTGTTCTGGACCTCATTTTCTCTTTTGTAAAATGTTAATAATTATAGTACTTATTTCAGAGAGCTGTTACTTGAATTAGTTAAAGTAATTTATTTAGTGTTCTCAATGTAAGTTATCTAAATGCTTTATATGTATTATCTCATTTTGGCAGAACAATTTGTGTGTGATCAATGATTGGGTGGTTGTATAAATTACCATCACATTTAGTCATTGTGACTACATCAATAATACTAAGGAGGTATGGCATTTGGATTTATTATTTGTATCTGAATAGTCAGTTTCAAGTATAGTTTAGTAACATAGATGTAACTGGGGTAAAGGTCTCCAATTGTTTAATTATTAAAATTCTATCCATTGAATAATAAATACTATTTTTATATAATGTTTATGATAGTTCTTAATTTTATGCAACTTAATTTTAAATAATAATATGAGGGAATAGATTGACGACTAATAGAAATGTTAATAGATAACTATTAGAAAATAAGTCCTGGCCAGATGCCGTGGCTCACACCTGTAATCCCAGCATTTTGGGAGGCTGAGGCAGTTGGATTATCTGAAGTCAGGAGTTCAAGACCAGCCTGGTCAATATGCCGAAATCCCATCTCTACCAAAAATACAAAACTTAGCCAGGTGATGGTGGCATGCGCCTGTAATCCCAGCTGTTCAGGAGGCTGGGGCAGGAGGCAGAGATCTCAATGAGCTGATATTGTGCCACTGCACTCCAGCATGGGGGACAGCGAGACTCTGTGTCAAGAAAAAAACGAAAAAAAAAAGTCCCATTATTGGGTATATACCCAAAGGAATATACATTGTTCTACCAAAGAGAGACATGCACGTGCGTGTTCATTGCAGCACTGTTCACAATAAGCAAAGACATGTAATCAACCTAAATGCCCATCAGCAGGAGACTGGCTAAAGAAAATGTTGTACATATACACCATAGGCTATTATACAGCCATAAAAAAGAATAAGAGCATGTCCTTTGCAGCAACATGGATGGAGCTGGAGGCCATTATCCTAAGTAAACTAACAAAGGAACAGAAAATCAAATGCCACATCTTCTCACTTATAATTGGGTGCTAAATATTGAGGACACATGGACACAAGGGAACAACAAACATCAGGACCTATTTAAGGGTGGAAGGTGGGAGGAGAGTGAGGACTGAAAAACTATCTATTGAGTACTATGCTTATTACCTGGATAACAATCTGTATGCCAAACCCCCATGACACACAGTTTACCTGTGTAACAAACCTGCATATGTATCCTTGAACCTAAAATAAAAAAGAAAACAAAGTTCATAATTTGGTAGCAAAATTGTCAGTACCAGTACTACAGTCAAAAAATATCCTCTACCTTCTCCAACTTCAGTTGAAAGGGAGCATCTATATGTTTTTTAAATATGCAGTATAGAACACACAGTCTGACAGCTGACACTACTGGGATTTGCTGATAATGTGAAACTTAAAATTGAACAAGTTAACTTGTAACAAGAAAATTACAATAATAATGACATTTATTATAAAATTTCAGATTTCATTTTTATCTCCCAGAAATGTATTCTGTGATAGCCATTTTGATTTGAGTCTCAGCTTGAATTGAAAATTGCCCAGCATTTAACTAAAATATGTATTTAGTCTACCTCTTAATTTTTGTGTTTGCCTTAATAGTGCTATTACCCTGCATTCCTCTAACTCCTTTTTAGACAGCTGTAACCAAATGTGTTTAAAGATATGACAGAGGAAGTTAAAACCAAGAACCCTAACAATGACATAAAATATCTGAAGCCTTTTATTTTCTATCCATGCTATCATTTCTGTTATCCATTGTTAAATCAATACACTAATCAGAAATAGCTGCAGCCTATGGGACAAGTAGAAGATGGAGAAGTTCTGACTGGAAGTTACAGTAATTTGCCTATTTGTCCTTCAAAACACGAAGAACTTTCTCTCTGACAAGTGTTACAGATACACATGTCAGTGAATAACCCAGTCTTGCTCCACAGGAGTTTATGATCAAAACAAGAAACATTTAAAGAAATAATTACAACGAAGTAAGACAAGATCATTAATTTATGGTTGGAACAAAAATACAATTCTGTTATTTGTTTTCTGTAGTAAACCATTTTAGAATCTAAAGCAATACTTTAATAGTACTTCCCCCTAATGTTATCTAGACTAAAAGATATAGCAAAATATGTCATTTTATGCTAACTACCTGTTATTAGTGCCACAAATGCAGTTGACTCTTGAACAACACAGGTGTTAGGGGACCAATTCCCACACACAGTTGAAAATCCGTGTATAACTTTGCACTCCCCCAGAACCTAAACTAATAACCTACTGTTAAATGGAAGCCTTACTAATAGCATAAACAATTAACACATATTTTGTATTATATGTATTATATACTGTATTCTTACAATAAAGGTAGAAAAAGGAATATTTTTAAGAAAATCATAAGGAAAAGAAACTATATTTACTGTTCACCAAGTGGAAGTGAATCATCATAAAGATCTTCATCCTCATTGTCTTCACATTGAATAGGCTGAGAAGAAAGAAGAGGAGGGCTTGGTTTTGCTTTCTCAGAGGTGGCAGAAGTGGAACAAAAATCCGTGTATAAGTGGAACTGTGCAATTGAAATCCATTTTGTCCTAAGATCAATTTTAATTATAGTCACAAGAACTGTTTAGAAACTGAAGCCTTACTGCTTGCTTAAATTCTGGCAATATTTACGTAATATTAAATAAGAATTTATGAAATTTAAACTTTTCTAGTGTTTGCCATTGCCATTAGTGATTGGTAATCCAAACAAAGACTTCTTTATGTATGTAATTGCTTTTTGTTGGCTATTATATAAAATAATTCTGAGCAGATATTTTTAATGCTGCCCCTGGCCCAACGAAGAATCCCCCAAAATTCTCAAGAGATAAAAATATTGCTATCTGAGTGCCAAGTGAGTTAGCTTATATAATAACAGTTGGCTGTTTATTTTCAATAGGAATATGATGAAGAATGGGCTAAGAAAATTCAGAGTGAAAAGTTTCGCTGGCATAACTCTCAGTGGCTGGAGATGGTAGAGAGTCGTCAGATGGATGAGAGTGAGCAGTACTTGTATGGTGACGATCGAATTGAGCCATACATTCATGAAGGAGATATTCTTGAAAGACCTGACCTTTTCTACAACTCAGGTGATAACCAAAGTGAAAATAAACAATTTACATGCTATGAATAGAGATTTTAGTTTTCCAGCCTTGCACATTCCCAAGCTTAATAAGCACTTCTTTTAGTTTATGAATGGTCTTCTAATGATTTCAGTTGTAACATCTATATACGATAAGCAAGCCTATTAACTTACCATTATTTTTTTCCAAGTTAGTCTTTGATGTAATCTCCACAAAAGGCTGTAGGCAGAAAACTAGCTGTTCTTAGAAGTTTATTACTTGCTAGAATGTGTAACTTAAATGGACAACTTCAAGATTTCTGACTTCTGTTCAAAAATGTAATATTCATTTTTCTTATGCATTTACTAAATGCATAATTTATTGATTTATCTTTCATTTTACAAGGTATTTAATCTTAACAATTTAATTTTGCCATGGTTTTGCTTTAGTTTCAAATTACCAAACTCTACATGGTAACTTCAGGAAAGATTTAGATATTTGCTAGCAATTGTCTATTCTTTCTAAACTATGCTAATGTTTTCAAGGTAAAATTTAATGTTTACATAAATCTTACGTATATTATACGTACCTTTTTGTTGATTCTGCAATACTACCTTTTTCCAAGGATGAGTTTGACACAAAGATTGGTAAGTTTTTGCATATTCTAGCTGTTACTGTTTTGTACCATTGCCAACATTAATGTGACTTCATTGAAGTCATTTTGTTGAGGAGAGAAAGGAAAGGATTTCGATAATAATTAAGATCTGTAGCAAGTTGAAGATAAAAAGCATTAAAGTGATCATATCTGAATTAGTGACTCACCTCTTTTTCTACTACGTATTTCTACTATGTATTTAGTGTTCACAAATACGTTCTCTAAAAATTTTGTATATTGTCTTATTTTATCTGAACAATTTGTGTGTGATCAACGATTGGATGATTATGTAAATTACTGTTACATCTGATCACTGTACTCACATTAATAATGCCACTCACATTTTCATTCATGTTGTTTTCTTAATTGTGTATTGTGCAAATTTTCCATGGATATTATGTATTATTTTTGTATTTGGTATACTTAACTCATGGAAAATTTGTGCTCTACTTTGAAAATTAAATAGATTTCTTCCTAACTGAACTTTGCAGTAGTTATAAAATGCTTCTTTGTGTTTCAAACCAGATGGAATAGATCATTAATTTCAACCAAACAGAATTTCTTAGTTTGGTAATAGCAAGCAGCTGTTCCTTACATATTCAGTATTCATGAAGTAAAATGATGTAAAATATATGTGATATAAATTTTTTTGTTAATAGAAATCAGAATATTCTTGGAATCAAGTTTCTTGCTTTGAATGTTGATAGCTGCCTTTCATAATGAATCAATTAACAATTTCTAAAACCAGATAAAACTGTTAACCATCTCAGTATTCATCATTGTTGTTTTAATACAATTAAAATTTCAGAACAGATTTTTTTTTTTTTTTTTTTTTTTTTTGAGATGGAGTTTCACTCTTGTTACCCAGGCTGGAGTGCAATGGCGCCATCTCGGCTCACTGCAACCTCCGCCTCCTGGGTTCAGGCAATTCTCCTGCGTCAGCCTCCTGAGTAGCTGGGATTACAGGCACACGCCACCATGCCCAGCTAATGTTTTGTATTTTTAGTAGAGACGGGGTTTCACCACGTTGACCAGGATGGTCTTGATCTCTTGCTGTGTTTTAAAAAAAACCTTAGTATTGTCATGTGAAATACAAAACAGGCATCTCCTTTAGTTACAGTATTTTTTCCTTAGTCTAAAATTATTGTGATTGTAGTCATTAATTAATTTCCTTTGCTATCATGAAAATGAAGCTGTTTGCCTTAGTATTTTTAGTACCTTTAGTACCCATAGAGGAAATATTTTGTCATTTATAAAGCTGCATTGCTACTACATATATCTAAATGACTTTTTATTTTTTAATTGTTCTTCATTAATTGTAATGAATCTAATTCTTAGTATGTGAATATATTCCTGGAATATGAAGCTTAAAATGGTTGGTTCTATCTCAAGAATATTGTAAAAACCATAGATTTCATTTACCTATGTAGTTCCGTGATGTGTCTTATAAAGTATAGCCAAATAAATTATTAATAAGATTTATCATTTTAGTTCTTTTTCTCATTTTCTACGCTAGTGACTCTATTTTCTCCTATATAGTCAGTTTCACCTTTAGCTAGTTTACCAAAGAGCTCAACATTATATTTTAACTTAACTTAAAAAATAAAAAGAGGTCGGACATGGTGGCTCAAACCTCTAATGCCAGCACTTTGGGAGGCCAAAGCAGGGGGGTTACTTGAGACCAGGAGTTCAAGACTAGCTTGGGCAACATAGTGAGACTTACCTCTACCAAAAAAAAAAAAAAAAAGAAAAAGAAATTAGTCCCAGCTACTCAGAAGGCTGAGGTGAGGGGATCACTTGAGTCTTAAGAGCTCTGGGTTATAGTGAGCTATGCCAATCAGGTGTCCACACTAAGTTCAACATCAGTATGGTGACCTCCTGGGAGTTGGAGCCCACCAGACCTACTAAGGAGGGGTGAACTGGTCCAGATCCCAAAGTGATTAAGTCAAAGCTCCCATGCTGATCAGTAGTGAGATCATGCCTGTGAATAGCCACTGCACTCCAACCTGGGCAAATTATTAAAAGCAAGACCCTGTCTCTTTAAGAAAAAAAGTTGGCTAGGTGCAGTGGCTCATGTTTGTAATCCCAGCACTTTGGGTGGCCAAGGCAAAGAGATCACTTGAGTTCAGGAGTTCGAGACAAGCCTGGCCAACATGGTGAAACCCCATCTCTACTGAAAATACAAAAATTAGCCAGATGTGATGGCACACTCCCATAATCCCAGCTATTCAGGAGGCTGAGGCAGGAGAATCGCTAGAAGCCAGGAAGCAGTTGTTATAGTGAACTGAGATTGTACCACTGCATACCAGCCTGGGCAACAAAGCAAGAAAGACTCCATCTCAAAAAAAAAAAAAAAAAAGAAAGAAAGAAAGAAAAATAGTTTTTTGGTTTTTTTTTTTTTTTAGAAAAAAATAACAATTGTATTTCAGTAGCAATATGTGATATATAAGATAATACATAAGAAGATACGGAGTTTTTATATTATTTGCAATGTTTATAAGCCAGTTTTTTAAAATGGCTTTCAGAAATCAGAAAGTTGATAAATTACCCTTTGTTGACAACAGATTTGCTTTGGTTTCATCATTGTTTCAGTATATACTCTGTTTTGTTCATAACTGTCTTTATTATTTACTTGGGCCATCTCAGAAAGGTGTGCTTTATAACTGTGTTCTAAAAGGTTTTATATAATTGAGTAATGTAAATGTATATAATACTCTATAGCTTACAGAGTGTTCTGGTGTATATCTGTGTTTTCTGTTTGTTCTCTGGTCATTGAAATGTTACATGAAATACTTTAGTTCCTTATTAGTATCTTTGAAACAAGTTTAGAGTAGGAATATAAGATGCTCCTAGATTTATGTGGAAAATAAAGCAGAAACTATGATTCTTTTTTAGTATTTCCCTAAAAGAATTAATTTTGGATGAACAGTGTTAAGAAAAAATAGATATTTCCAAAGAAGATTAGGTGCTTGAGATGTGAGGCTTTCATGGAATTTTTATACCTCATTCTAGTAAAGAAAGATTACTCATATGTCAGTGCTGCCTAGCTTTTGTCTAGCCATAAAGGGCGCCGTAGAAGCTGCAGTTTACTGAATCAACCACAGTGATTAAAATCAATTAAAAATGAAGTTGGGGCCCGTAGCTCACAACCATTGTTCCAGCACTTTGGGAGGCTGAGGCAGGAGGATCACTTGACGCCAGAAGTTCAAGACCAACATGAGCAATACCCTGTCTCTACAACAGATTTTTAAAATTAGCCAGATGTGGTGCTACACCTGCCTCTAGTCCCAGCTACTCACGAGCATCACTATTTGAACACAGGAGTTTGAGGCTGCAGTGAGCTATGATTGTACCACTCCACTCCAGCCTGAGCAACAGAACAAGACCCTGTGTCTTAAAAAAGAAATAAAAAGAACTTCAGAAGTATAAATTTACTCTTTATTTAATTAACCTAAGAGTAGACTTACTTTATTATTAAACTAGTTGTATTCTGAGTTTATTAAGTTTCTGGCTGAATCTTTAAAGTAAAAAAGTTTTAATTTGATCTCCATTTGATGATCACCCAGTTTCTAGTGCCCTGTATTCTGTTTATTCTTTTGCTACTCATTATTCCCTTTGAAGACAATAGGCTTTCTGAATCAAAAATAAGATATTGATAATTTGGTCAGGTTTTTACTTAATTTCTTCCTAATCTGGATCACTTCATTATGACATATTTTATAAGTATAAACTTTTTTACGTAATTCAGATATATTTTCATTTGGCTTTATTTATGTCTAAAATATTTCTGAGTGTTAAATTCTTTTGTTTTACTGGCATGCTGAATATCTTTGTGTGCATTTTCCATGTGTGGCATACATTTTATTTTGGCATTTTACTTAGCTTTGTTCCTCTAATATTGGCAGATTTCTTAAACTCTGATTCTTAATTCTTTGGTTTTAATTTAACAGAGGAACTTGTTGATTTTTGTGTTCTTACCCCTGTTAGTTTTAGCCACTTTCACAAAATCCTAGCCATTTTTAAAACATTTACTATATAAATTCACAAATTTTTATATGGCTAGAATCCATATAAAATTGATTTTTTTTTAAGTTGCTTTACCGTCAATCTGTGGTGTCTTGGCATTTTCCATGATTTCTTTTTTTTTTTTTTTTTTTTTTTTTGTAACTTTTCAGTGTTTAGCTGGTCTTTTTGATTTATAGAAACTTTAACTTCTAGTGGGCATAAAAACAGGATTAAATATTACTGGCACTTTTAGTAGAAACTCAAGCAATCTATTAAGTATTTTAAAGTTAGTAAAGTAATAGGACAAATACCAAAAGTGTCTATTACCAATTCAACAATTAAAAAAATAATATGTCATTAATATGTGATGAGTAACAAATGGATATATGTATCAAATGAGTAGTATGGGAGTCTTATGGAAATACAAATTACCCCACTTAATTCTTTTGCCAACTCTATTACTTAGTTTTACCATTCATTCAATTTTTAAGACCCTTATTCCTCAAGCAGATTTCATCATTTAAACCTTACCTATCTTTCCAGAGTCAAATCTGTTACACCTCTGCCTCCTCCCCTCCCAAGTAGAATTTTCTAACCCCTCTATAGCTTTTACTGCCTCCACATTCATTTGGTACTTATATCCATTCCTTCTGTGTATCATTATAAACTACATTTTTAATTGCATCTTAAGTGTTTGTCTTATATTTCACTTAAACTAAAATTCTTAAAAACAGGGATTATGTGTTATAATTTTATATATTTCCCACAGGACCTAGCATAGTGTTATTATGCATGTGCTAAGTATAAAAGAATCATTTAGTGATTGAATAATTTGCGTATACTGTGTGCCAAATGTATAAACACTGTGGTGGGTATGACCTAGCTAACGTTTATCTGCAGGCCACTCAGCAACCCAGCAACCCAGCATACTTTTAGCGAAGGAAACTTTGAAAGGCTTCAAAGCTATCCAAATAGTTATTACAAAAGGCATGTACTAACGTATTTGTTCTATGCATTGAACAGCTCTGAAGCCATCATTTAGATCTTTTTTCCCCTCAAATTCTTTTTATTCTTAACTTATTCGTAATTCTATCAAAAATAGGTTATCTAGATTCTTAGCTTGGAACAAATGAGAAAGTAGTATAACTCTAAATCAGGAAAAACGTCATAACAAATACTTAAATTTAGGAAAACCATTTTGTAAGCAAAGAAAAATGACTCAAAAAGTATACCAGTATAGAGCTATTTAGCATAGGTAATCAAATACATCTCTAAACCCTAGGGACTGTAAATATTTAAGATTTATAATGAATATTGAATAATCAATAAATATTTAGTTTATCATTTTAAGAATATAGGTGTTGAACAATGGACACAGGGAGGGTAGCATCACACACTGGGGTCTGTTGTGGGGGGCTAGGGGAGGAACAGCGCGGGGTGGGGAGGTTGGGGAGAGATAACATGGGGAGAAATGCCAGATATAGGTGATGGGAGGATGGAGGCAGCAAACCACCTTGCCATACATGTACCTATGCAACAATCCTGCATGATCTGCACATGTACCCCAGAACCTAAAGTACAATAAATAAAATAAAGAGTATATAGGGAGTGTAAACTATATGAAGATTTCTAATGTAAGTTTGTGCGTGTGTTTTAATGTTTCGCACTTAAACTATCAAGTGTTGTTTTTTTAGAAATTCACTTATTTGAGATATCTGATTCCCTAATCATGCTACACAAATAAAGCTGTGAAATACAATAAAATATTACCTTTTACCAATACCAAGCTGTTTAATACCTCCTTGCCTTTATTTTTTCTATTTCCTTAGCCTGAACCATCCTTACTGTCTGTCCCCACCTTGCTTCCCTTATCTTTTTCCTTCTTCTCCACAAGACCATGAGCTGCTTGAAAGCAGAGACTGTCTAATTACTCTCCGAACTCGTATAGTACCAAGTATATAGTAGATGCTCAATAAATGTCCGGTTACTGTGCTGCATTATTGTGAACCAGCACTTCAGTTCATATAGTCATCTGTTCATAATCCCAGAGAGAACAACATGTCATGCTAACATTTTTCTTTCTAGACCAAATATATAGGCTATTTTCATATTTTGTTGATTGATAGACAGATTTTCTTTTTCTACACATATGTTTTACTAGTTACCATTTTCTTTCTTTATAGATGGATTAATTGCCTCTGAAGGAGCCATAAGTCCCGATTTCTTCAATGATTACCACCTTCAAAATGGAGATGTTGTTGGACAACATTCATTTCCTGGCAGGTAAACAGTTTTCCAAGAAAAATCTAATGTATGATGTCTGTTGCTTTTGAAAAGCTAAAATTCTCTTTGCTCTCCATTTGTCTTCTTTATCATTAAGAGGTGAAAAATAAAACCCTCAATCTTTTCAAGGACATGTTTGATTTTAAATTAACTTATAAAGTCACATATTCTGTATTTAAAAAATGGAGATCACAGATCTAAAAATATGCTCTTCAAGTTGGAAAATATAGATTGTTGACACAAACAATACTTTTGCCTAATTAATGAATGCAGATTGTTTCTTGAGTGTTTTTGAAAACCATTAAAATATAAAATGAGAACACAAGACATGTATTTTAACAATTCCTGAAGATACCACTGTTTTTAAAAAGTTGATGCTTTTATTAAATTGAAGACTTTTTCTCCCTAGATGGTGTTTGAGTAAAATATTTAAGAAAAAAAAAAGGCCAGTATTCTTTTGCAATTATAATAAAGTTCCCCACAGGATATATCCAGCTTTATTACATAATGATATCATAGATTTTTAAAATCTTACCAGAAAGTATAAACAGTATTTTCCTCTTCGTATCATTCCTAGAGGTGTGATATTTTAATTAAGACTGACTGTTGACATTTCACATTAAGCTAGTCCAGTGAACAGATAGTCTTATTTTCCCTTAAGCCTATTTTTTTCATTAGGTCGTTAATTTAATTTCTTCTGAAATTCTACTTTTCATTAGGATAAGCTATTTTCTATGTGTGAGGTATGTTCATGTATTTTTTAAATGAACAATACAGTTGCATCTCATATGCAATAATTCTTAATGCTCAATTGTAATGTTATTTTAATCTGATACTAATTATGACAATTTCAACCATTATCAATTATCCATTTATATAATCTGTTTTACAAATATTCATCTTACTTATTTTAACTTGCACGGCAACATTTTTAAACAAGTATTATTATATCTGTTCAACTGATGAGGAAATCACAGCTCTAAAAACTCAAGGTTAATTAACCAGTTCATACAAGTAGGATGATGGAGCAAAAATTTGAACTCAGGTATATATGTCCTCAAAGTTTATGTTCTTTCCAGTATAACATGCTGCCTCATTTGGAGGAAACAAAATATAACATAGCGATTTTTAAGTTTTGACCACAACTCACATTAAAAGAAATACCTTTCATATTTGAACTTAATGCATACATACATATTTGTTTACATACATGTATCTACCTATACACATATATGAAAATTGTTTACATATTTGTATCTACTTATATATACATGTGAAACAAAAATTTCTTAAAATGGTACTCTACCTGTAATAGGCAGTGATATTTTATTATATTCTATTTCCTACTTTAAATGCAAATTGCAGCCCACTGAGTTGATTTCACAACTTGCTGATGGTCATGACCCAAAGTTTAAAAGCATGATGGGGAATCATAGGAGTATTACATGAAATGTAGTAATAGCCTTAGATGTAGTTCAGTGTTCTATAGTATACTTTAAATAAATAATAGCCCTTTAAAAATTGTTTCATCTTTATACTAGATACTCATAGTAAGAAACTCCTTGTGCCTTAGGAAATAAAAGCTACACATGATTAAATACTAGAGAGCATATGGCTTTCGATTATTTCTGATGCTTATGGCTATATTAGCTATAATTATTTAAATAGAGGCTGTTTAATCATTATAAATACTGCACTCTATCAAGTGACAATTCACTGTACAAATGTTTTCTGAAACATAATTGGAAAAGGAGGAAGTTATTTAGGTATTTGATCTTAATATTTATATTGACGATTTTGCTTATAGCATTTATAATATTAATTATTCTGCTATTTATGGTTTACTCTTAGCCAAACATTATTTTTGTATCTACTGCCAATACAGTCAATCTAAAGACAACTTACTGCTATGAGTCATGCATTACTTACTTGAGAAAGACTTGGTTTTATTTTTATTATGTGAGTTTTAAAAAACTAAACATTTTCACTAAAATATAGAAAACAACAATTTTGCTCAATTCAGCAAAATCCCTAATTTCTGGTTTTCAAAAATTATTACTTTACACAATAATAAAAGTTTTGAGAGAGAGAAATGTATTTTACAAGTTATATGCTGGATCCAAAGATTTCTGGATTTTATTTCTCCATTCTGTTAATAAGATATTTTTTAATAACTTTGGGAAAATTCTTTTACCTTTGTATGTTTACTTTCTTTTCAAAAGTAAAAATATTTAAGTAGTTTCTTTTACTTCACAAAAGACACATCCCAGTAATGTTAATAAAACTTACTATAGACTATTTTTCAAATAAAAAGAGTCATACATTTATTATAATTATTTTCATTTGAGAATTGTTCACCTTTTAAAAAGAACTTTCCCTGAAAAAGTTAAGACTTTCATCTCTTGTCTTTTGTAATTTTTTAGGCCTTAAATCACATTTAACTACATCACATTTGTATTTTTAGAAGAAATAATTCACAATGAATTTTCTCAAATTTTGTGGCAGTTAATAGATCAAACAAAAAGGGACCCCAAACTGTATCAGTAGAGCCACAGACAGAGTACATAATATAGCCAAAGATTCATAGTTGTTCTTTTTCACACTCTGTTTTACTTACTCTGGAATCATTTGCTTTTTTGCTTTTATTCAATCATTTGTGGTTGGTTAAGATTCTTCTTTTCATAGAACTTCTAAGCTCTTTTTTAACAGTAACCATAGTTCTGTAAGTGTGGAATATTTTTCAATTCTGCAAGGATTTAAGTATTTTAAATTGTTACATAGTTACTCACATATTTCCGTATGATAATTTTACTGCATAATGTGAAACTTTAAACTATGGCTACATTTCAGCTCCTGATATCCTGTAGGTAAATTTGAATCTCATTAAACTGAATAATACTCATTCAAACTACTATATTTGAAATTTTTAATTTTAACTGATTTTAAGCAAAATCAGAATATTTTTCAAGAAATGCAAGTTAATTAAAGAGAAGTTGTTGAACTCCTTCATCTTGACTGTAAAGATGAGAATAAGGAGACTTAATGGACAACATGAAGAATTTGTGTTAACTGTGGAAGAATAATAGCTTAATTGATTGATCTTTACATGTTGAAAAAGCTGATTCTGTAATATCTTAAGAAAAGGAAATGTTATCTATTAGGAGTTGTTGAGTGTTTTTCCTTTAAATCAGGGAAGTGGTCCAGTTGATTTATAAATTCTTTCCGTGCTTCTTTGTCATATGTCTTTGAAAAATAAGCACTGTCAAGTTATCTGGAGAAAGAATAATACATGATTAACATATAAAAGGTGAACTTTTATCATTACCGTTGTTTTTAATGATTTGAGTGTAACAATATGTGGGATAAAACATCAAACAATATGACAATGCCAAGTGGCATACTCTTCAGCCAGTTCTCATGGCTTTTCAATCTCTGTTTTCTTAATATTTCACTTTGAGTGGATTCATGTAATAAATAATAAATTGCGAATTTATATGACAGGGGTTTTTTAATTGTTTAAGGAAAAATTATTTATTTCTTCCCAAAATGACAAGGTTCAGTAATAGGATGAATGTATTAAAATCTGAGAAACTAAGCCAGATTTAGAGAAGAATTTAAACAGTTCAAATTGGTATTTTTCTTAAAATCCAAGTCAGGGGGTCCTTCTTAATCTGAATACCTACATGTTTGTAATATAGCAAGGCAGTTCACTTGGAAACAGTGAAAACTGGTAAACTCATCTGTTCCATTCTATAAGAAGACTGAATGTTAGATAAAACAGATATTGGCAATTGGGACAGTGAATCCTGGGTTTTAGACATGTGTCACTATCAGTTTGAACCTCTTGGCTCCAGGATTTCCCAACAGTTAGAGCTAATGCAAAATGCATTAGGGATCTAAGGCTTTAGCTATGGAGTTGCCAATCACAGAGCGTCAAATGTAAATCTTCCCCTCCCAAAATCTGAACTGGTGTTAGAAAGTAAAGTGGAACTTGCTTTTGAAGCTAATTAAAAATAATAGGAGCAAGACTAGCTTTTTTTCCTGTTATGTGTACCATGTATCCATACCATACTTTTGGACCATTTTTTTATTATAACTTTTACTTTTCAAGACTAACAAGAACCGCATGTTAAGGGTATTTTTAAACTGCTTCCAGCTTTTACAAATCAGTTTTTGTTGCAGTAAAAATGGTCCATTTTTCTTTTATAGGAATCCAATTTTCATAAACTGGAAAAAAAAACTGCAGAGACTGCTTAGGTTTCCTTGGGGCTTTGAAAAATATTTTTCAGAGAGCCTGGAGTTCTTCTTTGTGGTTGGCACAGTGATGTCATTTACTGACCATTTCAATGGGGTCAAAGACGAACTAGATGTTTGCATTATCTGAGCCATCTGACTCCTACACTGTCATTTTCTATGTGTGTGCCATAGACTGCCTCTTTTTTTTTCTTCAAATACTTTAGTATTAACTTTAATGCATTATATGTATTATATATTACATATACATATGCCTTCTATTTTGGTCTCTCTTTTCTTTCAACTATTAAATCACAGTTGAATAGTAATTGTACTTGAAAAAAATCCTACTGAGTAGAACTAACAAAGTATTTCTTTAAAATATAAGAAATAATCTTTTACTGAAATTTTTTAATGTATGATTTTTCAATTCTAAAATTCTACATGTAAAAAAATTAGACTTGTTTGTTTAGCTGAAGGCTGCCTTAATTAAACCCAGCTATTTAGTTTACTGTTTTTTCCCATGAGAAAGCAGCCTCAAAACTACATATTTTCTATCTAAAAGGCATTGTGCAGTGTTTATAGAACTACATATTACTAGAACTATCTGAGTTTGTTTCAAAGCAGTTATTCAAAAGAAAAATTAAGTTGTCTATTTTACAATCCTTAATTTGGCGAAGCCAAAAAATTCTTTTCTATTGAGAGGAAAGTTAATATATCTGTAAAATTCCTTCTTTGATAAATCCTTTATCAATTTTTAATTAATA